TGCAAGATATGCTAAATTCTTCTGACTGGGTGGGAACCACACATATGGTCATTAACCCATTGAAACCACATATCAAGACCCTACATGACATGGTGGCCATAGCTAACCCCACTTTTGAAGATACCATGGCAGTAGAAACAGGGTTTTCAGACACTAATTTGTGGCTAGAATGGATGAGGTACAACGCTAACTCGCACAATAAGACTAATTGTTATGTATGTGGAGGTGCCAGACCCCATCTGGGCACAGTACCTCTGAGCTTACCCCCCCGAAATAGAATCATGTGTACTGAGTTTGTATGCGCAATCTATCACTAACTCCTCAACATGTGAATCCTGGAAGAAGGTTTACCCAATCACCCATGGACATGTGAAACCACCTGATGGAGTCACCATCTACCCAGGTAATTACACATGCTATTCAATACCTAAGAACACTGGTTTGTATCTGGGCAAATTCCCATCAGGATACTGCTCAACTTACCATAGTCCACCTGTATCACTGCTAATGAACCACACAAAGACAATCGGTGATATCTATTGGTTATGTGGTGACAAACAATTGAGGTCCCAATTAGTTGGGCAATGGTGGGGGGAGTGTGCCCTAACCAAAGTCATAATGCCTATCCACATTATTCCAGATGGTAGTCATAACACTTTAAATCTCACACATGTATATTCTAGAACCAAACGAGAGGCTCCTATCCGAGGGAGCTTCGACCCCCATGTATATATTGATGCCATAGGTGTGCCTAGGGGGGTGCCCAACGAATTCAAAGCAAGAGATGAAGTAGCTGCAGGATTTGAATCCCTAATTCCAATGATAACTGCTAACAAAAATGTCAATTGGATCAACTATATCTATTATAATCAGCAGCGCTTTGTCAATTATACAAGGGATGCCCTACAGGGCCTAGCAGAACAGTTACAAGCCACAACCCAAATGACATTTCAGAACAGAATGGCTCTAGATATGATTTTAGCTGAGAAAGGGGGGGTATGTAAAATCCTCCCTGAAACCATGACATGTTGCACATACATTCCAGACAACACTGGGCCCAATGGTAAGGTGACTATGGCCATAGAGAAGCTAGATAGTCTTGCAGACGAATTAAAGAAGAATTCGGGAGCCACTGACATATGGGATAAATGGTTTGGATGGATGAATGGCTGGCAAAAGACCCTCTTCCAGGTGGGGACAGCTGTTCTTATAGTGTTCATTATCTTCTTGTTTTTAGCCTGTTGCATACTCCCCTGCATACAGAAATATCTGCAGAAAGCAGTGGATAAGACTGTAGATAACGTGACCCCTACCTTCCTACACCAAGATATCACAGACCTCGAAGATGACACCCCACATACACCCCTACAAACACATCAGTTTAAACAGACAACTGCCTTCCTATAGGGATAGAGTAGGGAAAGCATCTGTCTTGACAGGTGAGTCTCACGTGTGGAGATGTAGTGGGCTAGCCACTGCGGGATACCCGCGGAGTGAAGCGTTCGATGCTTGTCAAGACAGATAGGTTGCGGGCAACTAGGGACATATTAGGGACAGCAGCAGTTGTTATGGTAAATAGCCATTTTAGGGGGGACTGTTGTGGAAATAAGGTCTGCGCATATTTCCTAGATAGAGAAAATGTCTATTTACTCATTTCATGATATATATCGTATAAAGCTAAACACACATATTTTAATCAAGATGGCTGCTAGAAGCTTTTAATCCCTCCTTCCCCCCCCCTCCTAACGTCGACTAACTACCTCGTGCATCAAGATGGCGCCGGGAAACCGTGGGAGACCCTCATGGCCCCGGTGACATCACCTACAGTAGGCAGAGCATTAGAGCAAGCACTTAACACCTAACCAATTATTGATGTATTATTCCATGTTATCTCTGACAATGCATATGATGTAATTTTGCTTTAAAAGGGACTTGCCGTCCCCTCTGAATAAACATTCCTCAAGTTATTCAACAACCTGGAACCTGTGTCTGGTGTGAATTACTTCAGGGAGCGTGCACGCATTGTTTCATTGATTTGGCCAGGGGCAGATACACAAAGAAATAATCAATACCTTAATTGATTTTTCCACTTCATATATGTATATAAATACATACAAAACGAGGGCCTAAATTCAGAGTAGGGTTTGAGGAGTCATTAATAAATTAATTTCAATGATATTATATACAATGACTGTCTAACGTATGGCGATTTGTTTAACTAGGCATTGGAAGATGGCATCTATTAAAGTCGGGCTCTTTCGATTGCATTGTTTATAACATTATTTATAATGTTTGAGGCTCTAACTCGTGAATTTCTACAGGAATATTCTCTTTGAGTTGCTCAAGTGTACACAGTTCGTTTTGTGTATGTATGTGTGTCAGTGATCATGTCTGTAGTAAGCATATATGTATGTCAGTCAGTGCATCTGTAGTAAGCATGTATGTTTGTCAGTGAGCACGTCTGTAGTAAGCATGTATGTTTGTCAGTGAGCACGTCTGTAGTGAGCATGTATGTGTGTGCCAGTGAGCACGTCTGTAGTAAGCATGTATGTGTGTCAGTGAGCATGTATGTGTGTGTCAGTGAGCATGTCTGCAGTAAGCATGTATGTGTGTGTCAGTGAGCACGTCTGTAGTGAGCATGCAGGTGTGTCAGTGAGCATGTCTGTAGTAAGCATGTATGTGTGTCAGAGAGCACATCATTAGTAAGCATTTATGTGTGTCAGTGAGCATGTATGTGTGTATCAGTGAGCACGTCTGTAGTAAGCATGTATGTATGTCAGCAGGGCTGCCATCAGAAATTTTGGGGCCCCTGACAGAGCTCAAGGTCTGGGCCCCCCGGTGCCTGCACCCGAGTCCGTCCGTGTCACCCCCCCTCCTGAGTCCGCCCACAGGGATGCAGTGTCTGCAGGGCCGGTGCAAGGATATTTGCCGCCCTAGGCAAAAGTAAAGTTTGCCGCCCCCCATGTGACATCACAATGCCCCACCCATATGATTTGCCATGTTAACTAACACAGTGCTGCCGTGTTTACAATAAAAGGCCTGCAGGGACAGGCTATAGACACCAGAACCACTACATTAAGCTGCAGTGGTTCTGGGGACTATAGTGTCCCTTTAATGTGAGGTAAATTAGAGATTAGTGCCACGAATAATATACTAGATTGCCTACTTACAACCAGATGAGGATGATGATGGGCTCTAGCTGCAGTCTGGCTCCACTGGTCTGGTGTAGAACAGGCTCTCTGGAGGCTGTTTGTAACTGTGGTCACAAAAATCAATGTTCTGGGAGAACGGGAAGCAGCTCCATTTTTTGGGGGGCCCTTTACACAGCTCAAGGTCTGGGTCCCAGGGTCCACCTTTATGTTCCACCAATGAGTTTGTTCACAGGGGTGTGTGTGTGTGTGGGGGGGATGTCCTGATGTGTGTAAGGAATGCATTGTGTGAATCTGTGTTTGTATGTGTAAGGGGTGAATTGTGTGTTGCTGTGTGTAAGGGATGCATTGCTTGTGTATGTGTGTCTGTGTGTAATGCATTGTGTGTTTTTCTGTGTGCAAGGGGTGCATTGTGTGTGTATGTGTGTGTGTGATGGATGTCAATCTCTCCCCCTACCCCCGTCAATTTCCTTCTTCTCCCCCTCCCTCTCCCTCTCCCTCTCATTGCCTTCTCCCCCCTCCCTCTCATTGCCTTCTCCCCCCTCCCTCTCATTTCCTTCCTGCTCCCCCCTCAAATTTCCTTCCTTCCTCTCCCCTCCCTCAAATTTCCTTCCTCTCCCTCCCCTCCCTGAAATTTCCTTCCTCTCTCCCTCCCTCAAATTTCCTCCCTTCCTCTCCCTCCCTCAAAGTTCCTC